CTCTCTCTCTCTCTCTCTCTCTCTCTCTCTCTCTCTCTCTCTCTCTCTCTCTCTCTCTCTCTCTCTCTCTTGCCCCCGCCCCCCAGCGCCCCCCCTCATGCCATCCTAAACAATCCTCTTCTTAATTGGGATGCCCAAAAGAAAACAGTTGCACACATCCATCACCACATACGCACCCCAGAGATGGAGAAGCTTCCAACCACCAGCTGACAGCCCAGCCTTTGAAAAAACCCTCGCCTGTTAACATGGGGCCACGGAAAGGGTTCGATTACCCATCACGACAAGGCTGGTGGTGCCAGGCAAATCGTCTACTGCCGTGATAAAAAGAGGCTCGGGATAACTGGTGATTTAAGATTATTGTGAGAGTTTGATGCACACACTAGATCTGATAAGAACTCCAAAACCATTGTGAGGAGGTTTGGTACACACAGCAGAACGGATAAGGGGTTTGCACACGTACCTCCGGGGCTACCGTGTGGGTGCCATACTTGTCATCCCAGTACATTGTGCTGATCCGGTACAACTGCTGGATGCTCAGTGCCTTGAGAAAGAAGAATATAAAACAAACAAAAAACAAACAAAACACGAAGTCAATGATATTTGTGACGTACCCAATCAAAAACTTGTTCATCATTCCCATGACATGCGACAGGGAAGTGGTTCAACACATGGTGGTTCAGAGGTGCATTAACTTGTCTCGATTTCACATCCAACATGCGTACATGCATATGCCGGTGGCAAAACAACTTCCTCAAAGCAGAATTAGCAATAAGCTTGAGATGGTGCATTGCGCCTACACAGAAGACTTGGAGATATGGCCTTCGGCCAGGAACTCAGCTCAAGACAATTTGTCACATCTTGCAGCTATGGCGTCTGAGCACCAGTCTGAAAATTCCCACCCGAACACTGTATCCATCACCAGACACACTCACACTCACATACGCACATAACACTTGGATCTACCCTGAATGTCTGCAATTCCACACACTGTCGTCGTCTTCCTCCTCCTAGCGGCTCGCCCTCTTCAACCCGGGCTCTCCTGTTGACCACCTGTGACTCAATGCACAAGTCACTCAAGCAGCGCTTCCTCGTAGTTTCTCAGAACGACCCATGACTGATCGCTGCCTCTTTATTTATACTGTTTCGTTTGGTGGTCTGGGCCTGCCCGATGTCTGAGGCCCTCAAGATGTGCAGTCCCACCCTGGTACTTGCTGCAAAACGGACTGGACTGGGACTGCCTTTTCATGTGCCCCTTCGGGGTTGATTTGGGACTCTTAATCTTTCAGAGATTTGACGGGTTGCCTCTACTGACTTCGAGAGGTCAAGTTGACTCTTCGAGACCTGACCTAGCCACGACCTACGGACCCTTCAAAGGACGTATGGCCAGTTGTCCTTTTGAAAGTTTAACTGTAAAGTTGGCTTTTCGGGATAACACTTCTAAATGCAAGGAAAATGAGCAATAGCGAGATGACAATATTCAGATTGCACAATCACATTGAAGGCCAGATCGTATCACAGTGTTCAGAAAGTAGCATTGCACCAATATGACACCAATGGAGAATCGTAGCACTGAAAACCAACGTCAATCAGAGCTTGCTCTCGCCACCACCAATATATGTATCCAGTCCCTATCTCCCTACTTGGCGCTCGGCGCCCAGCCTACTCCCCACACAGCTACTACTTACTATAGTTCTTTACAAACGGACGATAGTAGCCCGTTATCCCCGAAAACGATATGACCTCAGTAACAGTCTGAGGTCTGGGCCAGTCACGTATGCTGGCCACCTTAGCATCATCCCGCCTCAATCCATCCGCTGAGATTTAATGACCCAAGTGCAAGATTTTGGTGCGACCGAACTCGCATTTCTCCAAGTTAACCTTGTACTGGTGCTGTCTTAGGAGACCTAACACTATTTTCAAGTGCTCAGCGTGCTCCTCTACAGTCCTACTAAAGATAAGAATATCGTTGAGGTACGCGACGATATTCATGAAATATCATATTCATGGCGTGTTGGAATGTCCCAGGGGCATTGCATAGGCCAAAGGGCATCACCACAAACTCGTACAGATCGTACCTGGTCTAAAATGTGGTTTTGTGCTGGTGCTCAGGTCTAATAGCAATTTGATGGTATCCGGACTTTAGATCTATCTTAGTAAAGTACCGGCATCCCTGCACTCTATCCAGTAGGTCGTCGATGTGGGGTAGGGGCTCCGCGTTCTTAACGGTGATGGCATTAAGGCCATTATAGTCAAATGCACATCCTCAGGGTACCTCCCTTCTTTGGGACAAATAAGACTGGCGCACCGTAAGGGGAGGTACTAGGTCGAATCCATCCCTTTTCTGTGAGCTCCTTGAGCTGGCGGCGGAGCTCGTCCAACTCCGCAGGAGACATCCTATAGATTCGTCCTCTAGGTACCTTACTACCTGGGGCAACTTCTATTGCATGGACGACCTCCCTTTCCAACACGCTTGTGGCCTCCTCAAAAAGGTCTGGATATGTTGCGACGACTGATTCTACCTCTGGGGTGTTTTAACAACCTCCCCTTTTTCAGAGACAAAGACTAGATACATGCCCTCCTCGCGATTCTGCTTGTAGTAGTTATAGAAAGAGGAAGCACACATGCAGCCGTAGTTCTCCACTAGACTGCTAGCCTTATACTTCTGCAGTTTAACGGTCCTACCATTTGGCAACTTGTGTAACAACACCTTCCAATCCCAATCAAACTGAGGTTGAGCAACCTCGAGGTAGTACATGCCTAGTAACATGTCGAAGGGCAGTTCGTCGCTAACGAGGAATGAGATTTTATGTCTCACTTCCCCTCCTCCATAAGAGAAGGAACAAACTACATCCTTGACATAGTCTTTAACTATCATTTGGTGCTTGTTGTCTAGTGTAGAAGCTACAGTTCTGCTAAGCCGTTGCACTTGGTCCCCTAAGCGCAATCTATCCACACAAGCACGACTGATGAAATTCCGTATAGAGCCTATGTCTTCACTGCTGGCAAACTGTTGGTGCAGCAGTACAAAAAAATAATGGCCAGCATCATCATCAACAGCTGGGTGTGTTGAGATCTTGATCAACCACCCAGATTGGCGTGTACCGCAGGGGTCTTCAACTCCACAGCAAGCTGCCACGTGGCACTGCAAATGGCCACGTGCGCAGGCAGCAGCAGCCACGGTGGGAGGGGGGGGGAAGCAAATAGCAGCCTGGTCGTTGCTGCCCTGCTGGCCGCTGGCCGCTCGCCCCCGGGGGGGGGGGGTGATAAATAGCTGCCACAACACTTCTTCAACACCAACGTGTCGCACTACAAAGCCATTCACACACGGTGGTCAGTGTGTTATGCCAGCAGCTACGCACGCGCATGGCCAGCAGCTGCCCAAGTTCAAACCCTGGCAGCAGCATCCATCCCGGATCTTGATATAACTAATTCGGGAGCGGGGCATGTGGCGCTTGGCGTTGGCGCTTGCGCTTGCACGTAGTAATCACCGTCTCTTTTTTCTCACCATGTGTCACTTCTTCCCTACTGCACCTCTCGTCACGATTTCCCGCTGTTTTTCGCTGCAAACGCCCGAAAAACAACCGAACTGCCCGTTGTCGGGTTTAGCAGTATTTCCTGCTATGCGGTGCGGTGGGTGGGAGCGGGGAACGTTTCCACTCTGATACCAGTGTGGCGGACCCACCGGGTGAAGTGCTCCACCTGGGATAGAGATGGAGGATGAGGGTGGAGCAAGATGGCATAGCGCAGCTCCCACGCAGACTCCAAACTGTGCGAATGTAGAATGACCCAAAGTACAGACTCTGGCTGGGGTATACCCCAGCGGACTGACTGGACTGGACTGGCTGGTACCGACAGAGGTACCGGCTTGGACTGGACTACCCCGAATACAACACAGGCGTGTGAGAACAGGCCAAGGGGCTGGTCTCACAGGCCAACCAGAGGTCTGCTACAATCGCCAACAACCCACATTTCAGGTAGGGGAACGTGTCCGGGTCTAGGCTAGTGAGTTGGGACAGGAATTCGGCATCTCTAGAAAACTAATGCCTCAGTATTTCGGTCCCTGAGAAGTCTTAGATATTGTGGGTAGTGATTTGGATGGTCCCTCGTACGTGATTCATATCCTTGAACACCTACTCACTTACCCTGTGTTTCACACTTGAAAGCTTGCACCTTTTGCTGAGACAGAACAGTTCCCATCAAGGAGATCTATGCTGCCCCCAACCATGGATGGTCAGGTGGACGTCGACAATATCCTGGAGCACAGAGACATGCCTGTTCCCAAGCCAGCTTGCAGGGGTAGACCGCCTAAGCCTGTGAGAGAATACAGAGTACGGTTCAGGCATCATATTGATCCCAAGGAAGATCGATGGTTTACCAGAGAGGAACTTGTCAAGACAACTCCTCAGATCGTGGTCAAGTATGAAAGAGAATTGAAGGGGAAGGCACCAGCATGAAGCATCTCAGCGGACTTTCGAAGCTAAGGGGGATGGAATGCGAGGAATGAGCCCTCGCGGGGCCCTTGTCAAGCATCCACATGTTCTGGGCAGAGGCCCCCAGAAAGCCAAATGCCCGCTCTAAGTGAAGGCAGGCCTGAATATTCACTAAAGGCCCAAATTCCACATTTTTCATATGTGGGTACTTAGGCTGTTACAGCCCACCAGTTGGTTGAGTGGACGCGTGAGCCTCCCTAAGCTGCATCGTACAATTTGGCCCAGACCGTGGCAGTTGCACCTGGGCACATACACAAAATGCAGGGTCGATACATCATGAAGTCGCTACAAGCTTACGCAAAAGCAGCTTTGTCGACGTACATACCCCGGGTCCTGTGCAAATGCAGGAAACGGCCCAAGTCTGGAGACTCAGGCCGTGTCCAACTGTAAAGGGCCCAGGCCCTCAACTGTAGCACTAGGCCTGGGCGCAGGTACTGGGGTCCAACCGAAAGCTACTGGAAGCTTCCATCCAGGCCACTTGCAGCCAAGCAGAGGCTGCCACTTCCATATAGGAAGGAGGGAAGCCAGGGTTTGGCATTCTGGCCCACGCAGGCAATGTAGTCACGTTGTTGTGCTGCTGCATTAGAGGCTGTATGTTGCGCTAAGGCCAGAGCGCATGCGGGCGGGTGGGTGGTCAAGAGAGGGGCGCTGCTGGGCAGCGGAGCGCAAGCAGCCATAGCAGGGCTGCAGGGCCCTAGGGGGTAAGAGGGCGAGCGGTGGTCTTCAGGAAGGAACCGAGTGTGGGTGGACAGGGTCTGATGAGGGAAGACGAGATACGTACCTGGTACATGAGAGAGGTCCGCTATGGTGTTGACGTCATGTTCATTGGTCTTTGAGAGTCAAAGTGAGCCTGTTGCGAGAATGTTGATGTAGGTAGGATAGTCGAGTAGTGCAGGCTGGGCATTGGGCGCCTTACAGAGAAGAGCGACTTTGGATACTGTGTTGGTGTGGCCCGAGGGATTGAACATTGAATCATTACTTCATTGTATTGCTCTTATTTGGATGGGATCTCGGTGCAATTGTGCTCTCTGCTTGTACACGACTACTTGGA